TAAGTTATTCATGTCTCTTCGGTGCGCGTGCGATCTTCTTCGCTAAGTTCCTTATTCATAGATTGCATCTCGAGTGTTTTAGTGCAAGGCAAGTGTATTATACAAGCGTGGACGTGTCGACCCTTCATCGTCCAGGTATGATAAATATTAAAGTGCGGTTTACTCACTGATTAATTTCAAAAATTGAAATTTTTGTCTCTAAAATAATTCAATTGTGTACGTGAATTGCTTCCTACAATTTTATGAACACGCCATTATAGATTCGAAGTAATATTGTTTCGCATGGATAATGATCTCTTGGCATTTAGTGTATAACTTTTAGTTTATATTTCATCCGTAATCAGCTATCAAACTTACCTTTTGTCGTGATTAACTTGACATTCATTCAAACTTTGTCCTAATTTCCTCAGACTTTGACGCTTGGTCATTTGAGATAATCAGGTTTTACTGGGATGAATATTACGTGTAATATGAAAACACCGTTATCCCGTCATCCCGCATCCCGTGCATTCCTATCAAATTAATAGTTTTGCAAACAAAGTTCGTAGGTTGAAGAATTACCGTTGAGACCTATATTTATCTTGAAATTTCCAGTTTTATATCAGAAGGAAATGTTTCGAGATATTATCTGGATTTTCACTTAACAATTAATAATTAAATCTAATTAATACTTTGCTATTTACCATTATTCTGAACGCGTACCGCAGTGATCTTCAATTTCCCAGCAAAAATGCAATGATACTCCCAGTTAATATCTAGACATGGGATATTAACTATCATCGTACGTACGCACCAACACTGCCTATATATATTTACGTTGATGCGTTTCTGAGATATGAATGTCCTTCATTTCATGAATCTTGGATGGGTGAATTTAAAATAAGAAATTTACAGCACTTGTTGAAATATTATTTTTATCTGCGGATACTAATACTTTTAGACCTTAAATTCAAATTATGTTTCACTCATTGCTAGGCCATTCTTATAGGTATCTCAGTATTAAGGCATGAACTAATAACCTTCATAACCAACGCAATAACCAACACAATAACCTTCATTATAAATGTTCGAAAATACGTAGCTACACTAGCAACTAATGCGTTACAATAATTAAGCAATAAGCGGCTGTACAAATGAACTGGGGGCCCAACTGAGGGCCCGGCGATGTTGTTGCTAGCATCGCTATAATAAGTAAGCAAATGACGACGAATGTATTATGCGCTCGGTTGGTGACAGCAGGCAAAGCAAAGCGAGTTGCTGTGATACGACATTAACGTAGACCGCCACTCTAAATCTGCTAATTAAACTTACGTACGAGTTGGTAAAGACGCTCATGAACACTCCATCCATTGTTAGTAATAACATGAGAAATAAATGAGCAATGACTACATCTGACACGAAAAATTCAATCTATAAGAAATTCTTCAAGTTATTGGGGTGCGGATTTGTCGTTTGACTTAGTCTCATACGCGCGAAATTGTTCATGGATAGAAGGGCTTTGCCTTACATGGACCGTCCGTTATTAAGAATTCTGCTTTTTCCCCGTTTAAATTTGGTTTTTCTTTTTCAATTGTACTTTTATTCTTGAATTTTTGAGCTGGTCTCCGAAACGTTTCCGATGTAGATATCATATGTGGAATTTACTTGACAATTTCTTTCCTGTCAAATTCTTCATCCTCTCAAGTTGATATACGTTCAGATTTAGTTAAACACTTGAGTCGAATAGGTTTAAAATTGTTGTATTATATTCAGATCGAAGATGCAATTCTCTTATGATGATTAATTTGTCAACAATTGTTCATGAATTATGTTCTCCTAGATGATAAAACACAAAAAAAAATTATTCCGAATTTCCGCTAAACCTCTGAAAACCAAATACCGACGTGATAGATACCATAATCATAATATGTTACTTTATTTGAGGACGATATAGCTGTTGCTATCTAATATGTCGTTTAAATTCGATTCGATGTCGGATAAAAAACACATGCGTGATATAGATTACTGATGTTGCCCCTAAAATCACGATTTTTTTCAGGATTCTTGCGTTTTAGCGGGGACTACTTTAGTTGAGTTATTCGCAGTTTCGCTCAACTTTGTTTCGTTGTTTTCGCGTAAAAAAATTTCCAACTATATGAGCTAGAACGTGGGACCACTTAGAAAAAAAATGTATTATCCCAAAAAGTAACACATTTCAGTGTAAGCCTATGAAAACTTGATGAAAGATTAATTGTAATCACTACAGTTGAGAAAAATATTTAGTGCGGCCAAATAAGCTAGGACATATTAAATTTTTACTTCTAGTTTGTTCATTTGTTTGCAACAAAATGTTTCTATATTCAAATCTTGAATCAGATTAATGTCTTTAAATAATGCAAGAAGCAGGTAGAAAATTTTTCTTTCACTACCTGGGTTCCATGCAGACATTTTTTAGTTACCACGCTGATTCAGCGTGTTACTAATAAAATATACCCTGATCAGTCATTAGAACTATAACTACGACATCGTAGAAAAACCTTGTCTGCAATGAGTATCGAAGTTTTCAAAATTGAATTTAATGTACGCATGCACATTTTGGCATAAAATACTGAGACTTAAAAATGAGAACTGATTATCATGTATGAAGAAGGGAGTTGACCTGCGAATTTAACTTTTATGGTGACCATTGAAAACATTCAATTGACATATGCACATAAAGTATGTTCCCTATGTTACTTAGACATATAGAACCCATATAGTGATAGCTTGCCATTTTTGTGCAAATGTTACCTGCTATTAGTATGGTTTTGACATATACGCATATATTACCTATGTTACTTATATATGTTGAACCCATATAGTGATAGCATGCCATTTTTGTGCAAATATTACCTGCTATTCGTATGGTAACCTAAAATTATCCTATTATCTTGAATTAATTAGTCACTCAGAAAAGTGAGCGAGTCCCTAATAGTGACACTGCATGTCTGCCAGTAGCACTGAAACGCCTGTTACCGTAACTGTGTCAGGATGACCCACACAATGGCTAAGATTACATCGCTGTTAGGACGAAGGCTCCCTCATTTATATGGGATCGCACGTGTACGTGTAACGTAGGCCAAGAAACGTACGGCCTACGTAAAACGTAGGCCGTATTAGCGCTGCTAATGAATACATATAGATTTTACAAACCATGGACTGAAAAATATGGTAATAAGGGTAATTATGGTAGTAAAATCATTGATGACTAATGTTGTTAAATGATCGGAATAGTCGTAATTAATTTAAGCGATGATTCTCGGGCGATGGTAAATTAACTTTGTTAATTAATCGAATAGTAAATACTGTAAATTAATCAAATAAATGGAATAAAATTACAGTACAGACATAAAAATGACGATGGAAATAACGACATTATTCTGAGAAAATTATGACATCACAAGATACGAACAACAAGACGTTTGACGAGAAGTTTCTCCGTATAGATAATACCTGACGTTTGAAGTCCTGTTAATCTCGAATCCCGTTTCCTCTGCAGTGATTTTCAAATTAAGATAATAATAAAAGAAAGACTCGTACAAACCAAAATCTAGCAAGGAACCTTTATGTGACTCCAGTTTTACAATTTAAAGGGAACTTGAATTTCTTATTTTATAATGAAATTTAACCAAAGGACACGATTTTAGATCTTCTGTGAACAATTAAGTCACGAAAAGTACAAGAATCGGCGACAGGCCACATCAGGCCTAAGCTGCAGCGCCGACATCACTATGTTATGTTAATACAGAACGGATCTGCTAGAAATTTTGAATATAAGTTGGCATTATCAATGCGCTGTGCCTAAAGCAAATACAGATTTTACATCATTTCGTTTTCAATTTAAACGAAAAAACGAAATTTTTAGGTAACCGAAACACTCATAAGTCCATCATACTGAACGGATCTGCTTGAAATTTCAATTTTAAGTAGTTATAAGTAATGCGCCTGTTCAGGAATTGTCAAAATTAGATAAACTTTCAATATTTCAAATTAAGGTGAGAAAACTTACACATATAGAGGCAATAATTAATTTCGAAGAAACGTATGTTCGCCGACTTTAGGCGCCCAATATTCACACATTGGGCGCCTTACTATATATAGACTGACAGTGATGTGTTTGTTCCTAGTCCCGGGTATTGATAGAACCTTAAAAGTTGTTCAAATTTTAAAATAGATCACGCCTGGCCGATACTTCCGAATCAATAATATTGCCGTTCTGATGTGATTGCGATCAATATGAGAATGAGATTAAAATTATATCAGGTATATCCTAGAAGCTGTGACTGCTGCCAGCCTTTTCATGTCCTCTCATAGCTATACAAGTAAAAGTCGTAATCAAAGCAAGAAATGTAGGCAAAATAGCATCGAAGTTTAAAATGACTGTATGCAGAATTGTAATTTTCATATCATAGAAATGTTGTGGGGAAGTGGGTCTAAAGTTTCAAATCTTCCAAACATGTGAAATTTTGTGGCACTTTTGTGCACTCTTGTTAACAATTATATATAAAAGGCAATACATTTTACTGGAATGTGGCACATTCCAGCAAATTGTATCAATGCTACCACTACTCATATTGCGACATCTTAGCTGACTGTTGAGACGGTTATTAGGCCTCGAAGCTCCAGATTTTTATTATGTAGCAATCAAATATCTTCGCAATGTGTCTTGCAACGGGCACGAAATCTTCCTCAAAACATGAAGAATGGTTTTACCAAAATATTATCAGCTTTTGATGAAAAATCATCTCTACGCGAGTGATCAAAATGTATTCAGTGGAGATGAAAGGACGCTGGCAGATCAAATCTTTGGTTGATTGATTTTCAACAGGTTTTTATAACTTTCAACTTCTGTAACATTGCTAATAAATGTAGTCTAGAAAGAATAAATTAGATATTTTAAATAATGACTTCTCATGAATACTTCTGGCGACGATGCATCAAATGATGTATTCACGATTCGTGGTTCAATTAAGAGGGTACAATGGATATTATAAATTCATTTACAAAATTTAGATGGTCGGCTGATATATGACACTAATGACTGACATTAAGATGGGCGCGCATCTCGTTAGAAATTTGTTGACAGACAAGAGGGTTATAATGGATCAATATATCGTATACCCTCAGCATATCACGCACAATACGACTAACTCTCCTGCCTTCCTACTGAGACACAAATATTCATGAAGTCTGGTGTGTGATGGGGCCTGTGTGTCCTGGGATGTGCCTCATCCTTGCAGGCTAAACCGACTGCACAACAATAATACTTCGTTAATTAAAGCGAAAAGGTAAGAAAAATTCATCATCTCTATTGCTCTATTCGTTGCGTTTCCCCTGTGTGTGTTCGAAGCCTGGCACTGAAAATAAGAGTATGTAGGGTTTGATAGGACGCGTATCCAGGATACTTTTCGGGTCAGGATATTGCGTGGGAGTTTTTTCAACTGTGGTATTATGTGACATTTAATAATAGCAAAGCACCTTCAGCGTTGAAGAAATAGGCCTGTTTAGGCCTATGGCCATTCTTGTACTGGTCGTGACTTGTTCAAATATCTCAAATCTGGCATTTTGACGTCACATATTTCATGGCATTTCACATATCTCAAATCTGGCTTTTTTAAAGATTTTCTCTTCAACTGATGTTGGTTTACAGCATCACGTGATGCTGTACTGGACTTTTGATAGTTCCGTAGTGGAGGGTAGAAAGAGGTCCAAGCCATTTGGGAATTTCTTCACTAATTATAAAAGTCTCTGCAGTAGTATAATTATGTAAGCATGCTGACTGACAAAATTAAACCATGCAGTACTCACTGCAGTGAGTGACAGAGAGCGCATTTTCTCGTCCGTCCTTCCGTGACGTCACGGACGGACAGACATAAAGTCACAGACGAACGGACATGACAAGCACAATAACGCCTTTTTTCCATAAATGAGAAGATGCGCTAAAAAGACGTGTTCGCAACCAACATCTCAAATAAAGCTCCCATTTTACTAGGTTTTTAGAGTCTGAATATTAATTTTTGCATCTTAAAAATTCAATTCCTGTGATTCCTTCACTTTTAATAAAACTTTTTAATATCCCGACAGGACAAGTATTCTGGATACGCGCCAACACGTGTATATTTCGTGTATATTTATGCGAGTATATATGCGGCATTTGGCATCAAACACACAAACTTTGACAAATACATAATTGACTTAACTGCAACACCATAATTTTTCTAAATTGCACTGGTTTGGAGCTATTATTGTTCGGGCAATTTTTGTACTTTCTTGAGACGAAGTGTCTCGCTTCTGCGTTCAGCTCTGGGCCTGAGGCAGTGCAGAATGTGCTGAGGGTCGACTTTTTCCGTGGTCCGACAGCCTGCGTAGAAGATACAATTAATAGAATCGACAGTTTCCAAAATTATAACGACATATATTGTTCTCATGAATAGTTCATACCTATTTTTTGTCTTCCTATTATGCTATGTATATTCTTTTTCAGTTTAAAACCTAATTTTTCTACTCAGCTTGAAAACAATAATCTTTCTCAACTGTTTTGGAAAAATTACGCTCATTTTATACCTTTTTGACAATTGGTTTCATTTTATTCAGTTTTGAAAAGATGCATGAACATTACACATACATTAACACTTAGTCTACGGATACAGTTGATACATTTATTTACCGTCGTCAATGCTATTCATACCTAAATGCTTCATAAAAAAGTTCTTCCCGTCGCCAGTCGAATGGTTGACATCGGACCTCGAATTTGGCACGTTCGTGCGTTCAAGTTCAACGCAAGCACTCCTTTGACAACTCAAATTTTCGCCTGCATCTCTGTGGTACTCACATCTCCCTTAATTACCCAATGTCACCTGCATCTCTGTGGTACTCACATCTCCCTTAATTACCCAATGTCAAGAGAACCGTTTTTTTTTATTGGATTGGAATTATGTGAGTTTTGGTTCACGTTTTGAATCAAGCCACCAGAATTAGAACACCGTCAGTTTAAATCAATTCTCTAATATTATACTTTTCAAGTATTTTTACTTCACTTGAATCGTAGGGATTTTACAATAACCAGTAATCATATTTGGAATTCTTCTAATTTTGATTATGTGCATCAACTTGTTTCTGTTATATAATAGTTTATGAATTGGACTTCAAATATCCAATGCAATTCATTCATTTATGAAGCACATAATAATCTGGCGACTCCCTATAACTTATTGATGCAGTTAATAGGTTTCAAACTAGTAATGATAGAAGAATGTAAATAGAGGATGGAAATGGACGGAATTTATGTATGAAAGTAGTGGACTGATGTGGTAGAAGATGGAAGGGGATGGAAGTATGGAAATATTTGACTGAAGTAGGAATGGATGAAGGCATGGAAGCAGTAGACGGTAGAGGATAGAAGTATTGCCGCATGCAATGTAAATGGACCGGAGTGAATTTATGTATGAAAGTAGTGGAAGGATGTGGCAGAAGATGGAAGGCGATGGAAGTATGGAAATATTGGACGGAGGTAGAAATGGATGAAAGTATGGAAGCAGTAGCCGGTAGTGGATAGAAGTATTGCTGTATGTCAAGACTGACAGGATTGCACAAACGGAACCCACCGACGGCGTAGGTGACAACCACGCCGACGAGGAGGCAGAGAAGAAGCCCCACGGGGGAATACAGCGTGTAGGAGATGTTGTAGAGAGGGTGCAGGCTGCTGCTACGCAAAAAAATGTTACACCATGAAGCATTAATTTATTTCACTGAGATGAATATATGTGTAGTGGCTTGTACATTGGCATCACCCAGGGACTTGCGTTGCTTTACAAACAAATATCGAGCCACTCTGCCATATATTAAAAATGTGGCAGGATTGGGGGACAACATATATGACGGTAGGTTTATAATTTTCAACATAATAGTGACGACGTAAGTACTTGACTTTCAATTATCTTATTAGGAGTCTCATGAGAATTAAATATGAACATAGAAATTTCTTTATGAACACGCACAGACTCCCGAACAAATGAATGGTGGCTGGACTTGGAGAGCGCAGATCTGCATAAGCTACACGGGCTGGCGCTGGAGCACCGAACAGACGCGCATGGCAACGCTATCAATAGCAAATAATTTCTGTGAATAATGCGGACTGCTCACGGAGGTGACATATAAAAAATACACTAACTCGTTTCTTGATATTAGCAGCTAATGAACTTCATGTGACAAAATTTGTTTTCAACTAAAATATTGAACAGCAGCCCAGACGTTTTTCCGAAGCCTATTGTGCACTACAACAAGCGTGCAATTGTGCCATATATACTGTGGAATATAAATTACCGTATAGTTAATTTTTGTTATAATTTCGCATGATTACGAATTAAATGTACCAGCCAATACGACCATTTCTGGTGAACTGAATTATCGAGAATTTTTTTACGGAAGGAAACAGGACTCGGGATGAATTCCTTTTCGCTTGGCTCGGATGAATGACCAGCGATGCGCGAAATCTCGTTGTGAGTTCACTTACTGTGACCGAATTTTTTACGTTAGTCATCAATCACCTATCAATTTGTGTTCGAGTACATAAAAGTACATAAAAAGACATTCAATTTTTTTTGTTTAAATTTGATAAAGAATTTGTGTTTTTTTCAAAGTTGTATTTTTCCCCAGCAGTCAAACCAACATGAGAGCTCATGCATTTATTGTCAGTAACGTTAATATAATTTGATCGATTTTATTTATCTGTAGAACATGCAAAAACTTCGGCGCCAGATTTAACTGCTCAATGTAGCAATATTGGACTTCACCCTTCGCCCCCTGATCGTCTGCCGCCATGATTATGATAAGGTTACCTAAAGTCATAATTATGTATGCAAATGTTCAACTCTCAATGTTGAGTCATTGTATATTTAAATGGCAGAGCAATGAAATACTTTACGTTTGTACTGGTCCACTGGTCACATTGAGCGAAGATGTTGCAGCGGTGACGTTGAGGCCCTCAGAGCACAAGTG